AAGAAGAAGAAGAAGAAGAAGAAGAAGAAGAAGAAGAAGAAGAAGAAACAAGCCAAGCAGTCTCCCAAGATTTGAGGGGCTGCCCCAAAGAAGAGTTGGGGGTCGACCTAATTTCCAAAGCCCCAGAAGGCAAGACAAGAAGCAACGGATGGAAAACCATCAACGGATGGAGGTTTTTAAGAGGAGACTGGACAACCATTTCTCTGGGACGGTATAGGGCCATCTGCCTGGGCTGGGGAGGGGAGGGGGTGGACTGGAAGACCTTTGAGGTCCCTTCCCCCCCTAGGAGTTTATGATTCTGAGATTGCTAGATCGATGAGGAGGATTGGAGAGGGCAGGGCAGGGTAGAGGATGATGAAGATGGAGGCAGGGAGGGAAGGAGGCAACAGCCGGCCTCCAACAGGGCTTCAATGCTGGAGAGATTGGAATGGTATGGGGTATAGGGTGGAAGGTTGGGCTAGAAGACCTCCAAGCGCCCTTCCCACTCTCTTATCCTGACCTGTTCGGCACCCCCCACCCCTTCCATCAGCAGGCCAGCAGCCTCCACAGTTTTTTTAATGTTTTGTCTCTCACATTCCTTCACCTCCCATCCCTGCAATTCCGCGATGTCCTCTGGGTGCAATACGGCATGTTCCCCGGAGAGGTTTTAAAACTAAACACACTCCCTACCGCCGTGTCAATATTTCCCCTCACAACACAGAACTTTGCAAACAAGCTGCCCGAAGGAGGGAACGCATCAGCAAGGCCGCGAGGGGGTAAAAAATAGCTGCCAGAAATTAGCCCTGGGAACCGACAGAAAAGCAGACAGGGAGGCAAGGACTACGGCATGGGAACCCCAGCAAGAAGAATTTAATCCACTTAAATCAGTGTTGGTTCCGCCTCGGGAGCTTTCAGATGGGTGGACTTCAACTCCCAGAATCCCCCAGCCAGCGTGGCGACCTTAAGAGGGGTGGACTCCAACTCCCAGAATCCCCCAGCTGGGAGTTGAAGTTGAAGGTGTCGCCATGATGGCTGGGGAATTCTGGGAGTTGAAGTCCACCCATCTGAAAGCTCCCAGGACAAAAACCAGCAGCTAAACCTCCCAGGAGGCCCCACTCCAATCCGGTCTCCACCAGGTGGAAACACACCTCCTCCCAAACTTTCCCTTAAAGGCCCCACCCCCCCATCCCCCCGGGCAGGTTGCCTTCCCTTCTCCTTGCGCAGGGGGAGAAAGCCTCACCTGTCGCTGAAGACCACGCCCTCGGCTTCGGGTGGGGCAATGGAGAGCTGGAAGGGGGTGTTGAAATAGTGCTGCTGCTCATCGGAGCGGTGCACCACGCGGCCCCCCCGGACCACCAGGAAGCCGGAATCGCCCAGGTTGGCGGTGTGCAGGCGACGGGTGCTGCGATCCAGGACGACGATGCAGGCCGTGCTGCTCCCTGGGGAGGAGATTCAAAGGGTCACCTGGTGGGAAACGCCAGCTTGGCTGCTGCTTCTACCTGGGCGGCTGGCCCAGGCGGTCCTTGGCTCACCGTGGCTCGTCTCGAGGTTACGACGGCACTGAAAAACGCGGCTTAGGGCCAGTTTTCACGGTTTAACCTGACCATTGCAGCACCCCTGTGGCCGAAATTCAGATTCTTGGCCGGTGACTTGTATTTATGACCGTCACAGCGTTTCCCAGGGGTCATGTGAGGGACTGGGCCCCCAAAGCGACAGGGTCTGGACGGACCCGAGGCGGCCATTCCCCGGGCGAAGGCTGCCGGTGAGACATGTCATGGCAAGGGCTATGCCTCCTCCGGGGATCAGCAGAGGACACCTAAAAATAAGCCCCATTAAGAGGGAGCTGCCTTGGCAGAGGAGCCTGGGATCAGGTGAGGGGCAGCGAGCGGAGCGGAGCCGTCACTGGGCGAAAGGTCATCCCCACATTCCCTCGGCCAGGCTGGGTTCGAGATAACATGGAGATGCGCAAGGACTCCCACACATACACACACACCCTGGTTCGTAAACACCCGGGCAAACGCTAGAGGCAAACTATCGGGTTCCCTTCCTTAGCTGCACCTGGGAATGCAGCGTATAAAAGAGGAAGTTGGGCACAGCAAGTGGTTGGGAGCAAATCGTGAATTTATCTGGTATCCTGGTGGCTTATCGGTGTTTCTGGCGTCTTCCCAACTCTGTTGAGTTTTGAAGTGCTTTCGATCTGAAATTCCTTCTCCTGCCCTGTCAAGTTAACTACTGCAGTTTGGTTTGTTTGGATTTTTAGTTAGTTTGTATGTACCTTGTTTTGGGGGTTTTAGTTACAGTTTGTATGCACCTTGTTTTTGGACTGAATTTTCTGCAGCTCGAGGCTGTTCCTGGGAGAGTTTTTCTCCAGCCTGAAGGTAACCAGGACACTGGGGGCAAAGTTGGAGCTAAGAAAGGGACTCCTACGGATTATCTGTGCTGCCTTTGTGCCACACCCTGAGTCGTCACAACCAACCTCAATGGGAGAGGAAGCTGGAAGGGAGGGCCGCGGGGGGGAGGGGCTCTTCTTACCCAGCAGGGGGGCTTTATGCTGCAACAGCTCACAGTAGCTTGCAGTGAGGATCCCCACCGGGTGGCTGGGCACAAACCGTCCTTCCTTGACCAAACGTTCACAAGTGCGCATCAGAGTCCCTGAGAACTGAGACGGGTCGACACCGTAGTCTCGCCAGCCTCCGACACCGTCTGCCACGCCTTCGGGAGAGAGAGAGAGAAAGAGAGAGAAAAGTCAGTCCTTTTGCTGGTTTGTTCTTGCTTTAACGGCATTTGTCATCTAAACTAGATTTGTACATCACTGTGTCAGGATTCCGGCAATCGCTCTAATTAAATGATTCTCGAGCCAAACTTCAAAAAAACCTCGAAGGATTCATTAGAGGCGACATGCTGGCCCTGCCCAACTCTGGCCTATGTCATTTACAATCCCATGACCCTGTTTCCCCCCTACCTACCGGGTGTGTCATAAATCAGACTCTCCCATTGAGGAGAGTTTTTCTACAAAGTCGCTCTCCTTTCTATGTAGCCACACGTTTACAAAAGGCAGAATAAAGGGGGACAGACGGACACATTTGCAGGAATAAACTTTGCATGGCACCAAACACCCTTGCAGCACCAAACTGACCCTAAGGAAAAAGCAGCAGCAGAATTAGAAACCACCACCAGGCAGAGAAGGGGAGGCGGAATGCAGCCTTTTTTTGGGGGGGTGGGGGGTGGGGGGGAAGCCAGCTGACTTGACTTCAACCCGGGATGAAAAATCTGATCTTTTAACCACAGTTATGAAGATCACCACACAAGCATCGCTCGGGATGCTGCATGAGTCACTAATCAGGAAATCTGCTTAGGGCACATCTCTCCTGGAAGAAAAAGCCACTCCTCTCTGGCCAGAAAAGAACCGATTTATTACATAAAATGAAGGCTGGTAATCTGCAAAATGCCCTTTCGTTTATGTCCCCGGATGAGAAACAGCAATTCAAGCGGACAGCGGCCTGACCCCGGAGATGTGCCAACGTGTTGCAGGCAGCCATCAACCAATCAAATTGGGGCCCCAAATAGTCGCGGGTGTGGCTGTCAAGTTTTGTTTCTTTTCTAGTATTTTCTTTCTAGTATTCCCATCAGCACAGCAGCGAAGGGCTCCTTTCTCTACACCAGACGGAATAAAACAATTGCAATGCCTGCTTGCCTGCCTTCTCTCATCTCCTTCCTTCCTTCCCTTCCTCCTCTCATCCCTCTTTCCTTCCCTTCCTCCTCATCCCTTTCTTCCTCCTCCTCCCTTCCCTTCCTCCTCTCATCGCCTTCCTTCTCATCTTTCCTTCCTCCTCTCATCCCTCCTTCCTTCCC